TTTTTTAAAAAGTCGACTTGCTGTTTTTTGCAAAGATTTAGCATGCGATGGGTTAGGTGTTGAATTTAGAATACTACGCACCTTGTAGTCATCCGAAATCCGTTTCCTACGCTGAGCCCGTTTAAATGATTTAGATTTTTGTGCTTCCAGATTGCTTCCTTGTAGGTGACCGACTGCGCCAGATGAAACGAATAAATAATTTAAAGGGGTGACGTTGCGTCGCCACACAATAAATTATTTGTAAAATCGAACTAAAGTTAAGAGGAAGCTAACAGAAACAGATAACATCAATGGTTCGTAATGGACTGACCGAAGCATCAGGTTTTATTAACAGCAACAATAATAACAAAATAAATACAGTGGTGCCTTAATACAAAAATAAAATATTACTTATCGTTTCAATATATATCTAAAAATTGTATTTATTTAGTTTTCTAATAGTTACTAATTATGCTACTATATGAAGATAATTTTACTACGATGTGATTATTGAAATTTTTTTATTTCATATTTTATCTTTTCAATAAACAGTGAACTTTTTGAAAAATAATGCTTTAATACAATTTTTTTTAGCTACAATGCAAAGCTGAGAAGGTACTAATTTAATTATGTTTTTTTTTATGTCTGTTGCCACTTTTTCAGATTAAATTCTTTTAACGATACGTCAAAGAAACAAATATCGTAATTAGTAGAAGACTTTGCCCTTACAAATTGAAAAAATATCTCTCATTCCTTTTTTTTTTCTCCAATGAAGGGCAGCTTTTTGAACATCACTTCTAAACCGCAGAATATTTGACAATATGAACTTGCGAACACGAAGTGGATACTTTGTGTTTCTGGCCATAGCTGTAAGTTTTGAAGTATAGTTTCTCAAAAGGTGATTTTTACATTCAATTTTTTTAATATTGAATTCAATGCTATATGGTCGACTTTCTACCAATCGCTTAGTTACACTACTATCGCCATCACCTATCAAGCAATATATTTTTATTATCAATGTAATAACACAATAATAATAATTTAGTACTTGTATATAATTTATTAATTACCAATCAAACAGTTATATTTAAGACCATGCATTTCGATGCTTTTAGAAAATCCTTCCAGAATGCAATCTGCTTCCATGCATGTTGAAGCTTTTTTCCAGTTAAGAAAACATTTGTGATCTGGTACATTTTTAATTTTCATACTTGAAGCCCTTTGACAAATTATACAATATTTGTTACGTATTCCAACAAATAAAACTTTTTGAGTTTTTAGACCAATTATTGTTGCCTACGTGTAAACAAAACGTTAGAATTATTAGTTGACCTAAAATCTTCGATTTGATGTTGAAAGTCATTGAGCGTTATTTTAATAATTTTAATTAAATTTTTTATTACAACCATTTGATGTAAACATATTTTTGATTTTTAGAGGCGACATAAAAAGTTGGTATTTTAAACTTAATACTGTCTTAAAAACAACCATTAATTATACATTAATTAATGTATAAATGTATTACTATCATTCAAATGACAGTATTATTAACAAATTTAAAAAAATATATTAGTGAGCTGTGTAACAAGCAGACGAAATATATAAAGTTCATGTAGGGACTTACTGTTCCAGATAATGCGTCATATTTGGTCTTGTAGCTTCGCTTGGACCATTGGCCGTCAGTGACAACAGTAATAACTGGCGTGCCATCGATATCTACGTCACCAGATTCGAATGCTAATTTTCTTTCTTCGTCGCCGGCTTTCTTCATTTCATCCCATGCAGTAGCATGAACTAATTCGGCTACCTCAGTTTGAATATTCAAAAAACCTCTACTACACAAAACAGGCAAGTCGAGAAATCCCGCGAATTCTTGTAGCTGAGTATGACCAATTCCAATTGCATGACAAGCATTTACGACAGCTTTATTTATTCGCATCTCCGACTGTTTCATATCCTCTGTATGTTATTTAGTTTTTATGTTACAAACTTTACATTTGAATGTGATAACTGATGAAAAGCCATAGATCACCTCTGACTCATATTCCATGTCGACAAACGAGCAATCATATGGGCCAACATGACGCTTTTGAATTTGTTGAATTAAATGTGATATATTGACAATTCTTCTACCACTTAATTCTCTAGAAAATTGAAGTTTTTATTGAATACATAAGTAAATTATTAATGAAATGCTTTACTGGTTATTCGGTTCATTTTCACTAATCGATGAAACACTATTTTTTTCCATATGGATACTTAAACTATGTTCCGATGTACTATTTTCACTTGAGTAAAAAAGATACAGAAAAAGATATTCATAAATATTTTTAATTAAATTATAAATAATTTTATAAGTAATAATTATTTCTTAATATGGGTTGAAATATTTTAAAAACTATTATGATATAATTACTCACTTGGATTGTGACCATTCTGTCATTTCAGAACTGGAGGGCGTATCATGTATGACCATACTGATTCTTAGTTTAAAAAAAATCAAAAGATTTTATGATAACAGTGATGTAAATAAAATATTTATTAATCCTGATTTATACTATTTTTCAATAAACTACGATTTAGAGGAGTACTATTTCTTACAGAATGAGATATATTATTATTATGTTAAAAATTAGAAGGTTTAAAATGTGTGGTAATATTATCTCTACATTCTTACAACGTTAAAAGCTTATGATATATTTTGAAAAAAAATTGTATAAATAAAACCATTTAAGACCTTTACGATAAATCCGGATTAATACTATTTTGAAGTAAATTATGATTGAATGAAGTGATATTTGTTATAGGATGAGATTTTTCATCATAATTTGAAGTTGACTCATTATGTGGTATTTCATTCAATTTTCTATATAAAATAATTATTCGTCTTATAATAAGAACATTAAAAAATTGAATATGAATTTAAGGTATAAATTTTGAAGTATGTTTTTTAATATCTAAATAATATGTATTATATACATGTTAACAACATTTCAGTTGTTAACTTAAAAGTGTGTACTCGGACCGGTTAAATCATTATCACGCGACTACTCCCTACTACTCAAGTAGTAGTGGATATCGCTACTACTGGCCGATCAGCTATTCACACACTACACACCAAACACAACACATAACCGTATTACAGTAAAATTCAACATTGTATTGCGACATAATCTACTGAATTTTTTGGTAAAAACAAGTTTTTTGTTAGTTGAATATATACATATATAAATTTGATATAGACATTTTTGGTTTGTGTTTAAAAAAAAGGGTTTAAAAAACTCAAATAGTTTTTTATTCATATTTTTTTTCCTTTCAATAATTGCGGGGATCAATTTTTTTAAGCTACTAATTAGCTACTAAAAATATTTTATTGTGATTCATTGCTACTAATTAGCTACCGTATTCTAGTCAGTTGTTAGATTTAAATTTGTGTTACCAAAAATTGTATTAAGTTAAGTTCCTTTGTTATTGTTGTGATTCGTGTTTTAGTATTAGGTAGCATCTCTGGCCAGCAGCTCTGCGAAATGTGAGTACCATTGAATTTTATTTTGAATTAAATTTGTTTATTATAATTATTGAATTGATTTAATACTGTCATCAAAATTGTAGAGTTTATTATTTTTTGTTGTTATTCTGTTATATAGCTTTAGAGTACATATTTACATTATTTGTTGAGCCAAAAGGGCTAAAACTATCTAATCAAGTTATTCATTAAATTATTATTATTAATTGTTGTAAAAAGGATTTGAATTATTTATTTACTTAGTTTAAGANTAAATATACTCAAATCGCTTAAATTTTCTTTTTATATTATTTTCTATTCAAAGTTTTTTAAATTTTTTTGGAAGTAGGTTTAATTACATTTTTACTTTTAAATAATGAGCTGCAAATAATCAATAATAATTTTTTTAATTTAACTTAATTATATTTTAAGAACAGAATAAAGACTGAAATATTTATTAGCAAATAAAATTATCTGCGTTATTTAAAAAAATGTAGAATATAAGATATAAAATTTGAATTCTTTACATTTTTAGTTTACTTTCAATAGCAAGGCTGTCCTTTATTTTGTTATATTATCAAGTAATCATTTAATAAATTATAAAAGTGTAATGTCATTTAATAATAATAGAAAATATTTGTGTATTATGACTTATTTGCACTCTAAATATGATTTGTATTTTATTTTACAATATATAATAAGCTTAAATAAGAATGTACAGAATTTATATTTTATACCATTTGTAATGAATAAAAATATACAAAATAATCACTTTTTATACATGTATTGAATAATTTTTGTCTATTTTTGTCATTAGAAACTAAAATTGAACAGCATTATGAGAAAATAATCTAGTATTTAAAGTTGAAAATTTATTAAATTATAGGTTTACTCCCATTAGTATAATAAAATTTAAGTGCGTCTTTTTTTTTGAATACTATACAAATTAATAATTTAATAATAATAAAATATGTCTAGGTATTATGAAATTTTTAACACATTAAATATGATTTATAATTTGTTTTACAATATATTGGCTTAGTAAATGTGGGAGTACAGAATTTATTTTTTATTATCTATCATAACAATTAAACACATAAAATAATTAATTTTTATAAATAGTATTGTAAAATATTTTTAATATTTATTATCTACTAAAATTGACAGCATTACTCTAGTAGAATGGAAGTCTCTTCAGTCAGTCATTTACTGTTCTGTTCAGTACTCTTTTATAAGCATTGAATCGGTGTCTTCTAGCTGCCTACTTATGAATTTTTTGTTACTTTTAAATAATAATCTGCAAAAAATAAATAAAATATCTTAAACAGTAAAATATTTGTGATATTTATTAGCTACTAAAAATTACAACATTACCATAGTAGATTTGAGAGATACTATTTAGTGTCAGTTAGAGTGGCCGTTAATTATGAACTTTTAAAATTCTAGTGCCACCCCCTAGAATTGTTTGATTACCCAAGAGAGTTATTTATTATTTAAATTATTAAATTATTTTTTTCATTCGGAATTCTTATTTTTTTAAATTACTAATTAAGACAGTAATTTGCCTACAAGAGTGATATAAAATTTCTTCTCTAAAGTATTATAATATTGCTCTAAGTGATTAATTTATTCCATTGAACTGATTTTAAATAAAATTACTTTTATGAATGTGTTAAAGCTTTCATGGATTGTCTTGTTTCTTGAAGTGCTTAAGGATTTATCCATGTTTGTAATTGAGTTCTGACGTTTCAGATTTACCAGACAACTGCCTGGTAAATTAACATTATCTATTTCAAGTTAACAAAGAATTAATATATGACTTTAATCCTCCTGAAACTTTAAATATAAATAAATATCTTTATATTAATTTATATTTAATAATAATTTTCTCAAAAATATTTTTTTATACTCTCAACTTCTGCATACTTTACATATTAAATTATGGAGAAGTTGAGAGTATTCAATTTTAATAAGATCAATTATTAATGTAGTAATTAAAATGTAAAAATGAAAAAAAGTATTACTTTAATATCTCCAAGTCTTCTATTAATTTGTTCTTTTAAAAATTGTTAGGTATGTGGTTTTGTCGTCAATGATAAAAGATTTTTTGGCTAATAAAAACGAAATATTTTCACGATGAAATTGATAGTTAACATANTTGGCTAATAAAAACGAAATATTTTCACGATGAAATTGATAGTTAACATACACAAAATTTTACATGGAGAAGGTAAGTGTACATTTACATGATTATAATTTTTTAAAGTCTTTATGTAAAGTTGTTTAATTACTCACGAGTGTCAATAAATAATAAAATTAATAAATAATGTTATATGATTTAAAATTACAAAAATAACGAATGTGTCACCAGCAATAACACAATTAACAGTTTTTTCTTATTTTGTTATAACTTTAACCGGTGAAGTCAATAATAGAAATACTAAATATTTACGTTACCCAGGTTAGATGATAAATCTCATTCTTATCACCCAAAATGTAACCTATATTTATTAAATATTTTGATTTTGTACAATCGCCATTAAGTTGATGAAATATGGTTTTTGGATACTTCCCAAAAATAGCAAACAACAGTTAGCCAGTTATACATTTCGAGATATTTCTTTACTAAAAATCATTGTTTAACTCAATCGTATTTTCATTCCTCCAATTTTAATATGGTAAAAATAATTGCAGTCTTATTAAAAACTTAAATAAATGATAAGTCTTTATGTTTATAATATTTGCTATCTATGTGCTTAATATATTTTTTATTTACTTTTATTGTACTTATAATAAATACATTATTACTGATTTTAATGGTAGAATGCAAATGTATCCACGGAAATGGGGAGGTCTTGTTATAGAGTTTCATCAAACAGTAAAAAATATGATAGTATCTTCATAGTATCACGGTCTTTATGCAAATTAATTGATATTATCAAATTAATTGGATCAACTCGTTAGTAAAAAGTACATTGATGTTACGCAAATTGTTACTATTTGAAATATTTTTATAATTTTCTTTAGATTCTTATATTAGAGGAATAGAAAAGTGAACGAAGTAACACAGTAAAACCTATGACTAAANACGAAGTAACACAGTAAAACCTATCTTCTGTTACCACTCATGACAATCAAACTCAAAAAAAAAATTTGTCACATTAGAGCCAAAATAATTCTAGATAAATCTACTCTATCATCAATTGTACAATTCTCTATTAATTTAAGTAACTTAAAATGATTATGAAATACATAATACATAATGAAATTATGTAAAATTTCTTTTTTAGAATTTAAAATGTCCATATTTCCTAACTCATCAAAAAGAGGCATCATGATAGTTATGTACATGAATTTAAACAATGAAATAAAAAAGAAAATCTGATCAATGCAATCTCCTCGATTAATAATAGTAGTATATTGTATTAAAACATCTGTGAATAATTGTATAAATATCAAATGCCTAATATTTGATTTACATGAATAATTTTTTTTTTATTTTTAGCTAGAAATATAAAATTTGGTTGAAAACATTTAGAATGAATCTAATGGACTTAAAATTGGACAATAACTTGCTATTTTCTTAGGTAGTAAGACTTAGAATGGTAACCAATATGTATTAATTTTATTTAAAATGAATACAATGGAATAAATTAATTATTTAGACCAATATTAAAATACAATTGAGAAGAAATTTTATCCTGTAGGCATATTACTGTCTTAATAAGTAATGATGATAATCATATATGATGGATTACTTAATCCTGTCAGTAACAAATTGTGTCTTTGTGTATAAGTAACAGGGTGCAATTCTGTTGTGGCTGGGCTATGTAGGTTTCCTTGTGTTCTCTTATACAATCTAAGCTTATAAGAGTGGATGTAAAACACTAATAATAATGATTAAAAACAATAAAAATTGTTAGTATTTATTACATTAAAAACAATATAATTTCTTTTTCCATTGTATTGACATTTTTTTAACATTATTTAAAATACATTTAATAATCCTGTAAAATTCTACAAAATATTAACTAGAATAATCTAAATTTTATGGAACAATGTTTCTCATTAAATTAAGTAGAAATAAATATTAAAACTTATTTAATTGTTTAATATTATTTTTAGATGATTCTTCATCAAATAGTTCTGAATATGATTTGTATTACCAATCAAATACTATTAGAAATCAACAGCCTTTTTGGTTTGTTAATGAAGATGTTTCACTAAAATTCATAGATGGCTTATTAAAATTTCACAAAGCATATGGTGTTCATGATGATCTTCCAATATCTTATTTCACAATAATAATTTGACCATATTAATTTTTTTACATTTGTTGAATAAGTATTTTTTTTTAGAGAGTATTTTTTTATTGAGAGATCGACACCAATATTTCTTAAATCTTCCTCTGGCCTGGCCAATACAAAATTCAAAAATATTTATATCTATTTAAAAAATTTATCAAGACGTAATTGTGATGGCCCGATGTGTCCCAGCGCTAGCGCCTTGAAAGAATGCGGCATTATAATCACCAAGACAAAAATTATATACTAAAAATATATTTGTAAGTTTCTTTATGCCATCCACCGGCACGATGCTCGTTAGAACAAAAACAATTGGTTCTCTACGTAATCTATAAATATTAAATTTTTTTAATAAATTATCACAAATAGTAACGAGTTTATTAAAATGATCACTAAATGCTTCGTTTTCACTTGTTGAAGTCTGTACCATTTATGTAATATTTTTATTATATAAACATAGTATTGTAATTCCAAGGCTTTCAATAATATTTCTAAACAAATTTAGTAGTTCTTTTGGATGTATGGCTTCGAATGGATCATTACGTTTTTGTATAACTACGTCCTTAATCTCTTCTAACTTATCTCCTCTAATAGAAGTCTTTTATATTAAAGGAATCTTAGAACCAAAGTAAAATAATTCGTACACCTCTTTCCCGCTTTTTGTATGTCGATATGTATCATATATTAATTCTAAAGATAGCAAATCTTCGTGTTTATTTATATGTTCACATACGACATCAAGTGATAAATTATTTAAATCAATTGGCTGAAACGTACTAATTTTACTTAAAACAATGAGCATTACACAACTAAATAAAATCATATTGAAGAAAATTGCAAAAATTTTATGAGTGAAAATTTAACGTTGATGTTCTGAAGAAAAGAAGTTTGAGCTATTTTATACTATGAAAATAGTGTAAAATAATTACACAATTAATTCGGTGGAAATAACAATATACATATAAAAACGCAGTCAACACTAAATTTTGTCGTTATCACGTAGGACCGTTTGTTTAAACACTTCCAAAATATTCTTTTAATGTTATAAAAAAAGAAACACTGAACATATAACAATGAAAATTGAAACTAGATACTTTAATGTACGTAGCTTTTTTATATTATGAATAAACTGTACAATAATTGAAGTAATAATAACTTTTAACATATTTATAAAATCAAATAAATTGTTTTTTCTGTAACTAAAAATACTAATAATAAATTGTTCATAATTTAAAGGCAACAAGTATTGGTTTATTTGTGAGTTAAAGATGACTAATACATATGTTTTTAATAAAAATAAATAATAATCATGATGAATTTAGCTTACAACACTAACAGTATTGTATTTGTCTTGTGTTATTAAGTTATTAAAGTTATTACATTAACTAAAGTTATTTACACACTATTGTAAAAATCGTTTAAGGTTTTATTGGAAAACAAATGCATTGATACGTCGGCGGTAACGGTTAGACTCGAAGTAACTTTTGTCATTGCCACACAGGTGGACAATAGCGCCCGATAAAGATAATCACAATAAATATTTCACATATAATAAAAATTACAACACAGTCTTATTGATCTAATAAGCTAAAATCTTTACAAGCTTAATCATCCCAACGAACTTTCCTTATTTCGATATGACTTATAGTTTTCTCTTAAGTATGGCGTTAAGAACTTCGCCATAACTATAAAACATTTGAGTAATAAAACTGTAATTGGTAGAATGAAGATTACATCAGTTCATATTCTCATATGGAAAGACAATTTTAATGTTATAAACATTAAAAGGGGCCCAAATAAATATGAATGTGTTTTTTAAGATGTAATTTTTTTCAAAACATTGTTTATATCAGCCTATGTTATTGCTGTTGAATATACAATATTATTGTTACTGCTTTTATACTATAGACGATTAGGAGGTGTCTATCCATCTCAAATCATCCAGAAGTGGTTTCAAGACCACATCATAATTTGCTGAAATTTTCAGGGTTTATTCTTTATGCTATTATTATTATTATTAT